TATTTTATGATTTTACATATGTTATATTGCTATGTTTTAGATAGATAGATAGATAGATAGATAGATAGATAGATAGATAGATAGATAAATAAATAAATAAATAATAAATGGCTGAACTTACAGGAAGTTAGATTTTGGCTGTATGTAAGAAAAAAACCTCCTAACAGTTAGAGCAGTATGGCAATGGAATCAATTACTTTGAGAGATTCTGGTGTGTGCTCCAACACTGGAGGCATTCAAGAGAAATTTAGACAACCACCTGGCAGATATCCTTTGATCTGTATTCCTGCACTGAGCAAGGGGTTGGACTTGATGGCCTTGTAGGCCTCTTCCAACTTTCATTATTCTATGATTCTATATATTCATACAACTCCTTCCTACAGGTAGAGGATCGACAAGAATCATGCACGGGAAATACACACAAGAGTCAGCAAGGAGAGTTCTACACAAAAATGTAGTTATTTCAATGTATTTTAAATAGTTCTGCATCAAAACCACTTCAGGCTTTCTGAGTTGTACCCATCTGTAGTCAGGAGGTTGGAAGTACTGCTAAGATCTCACACTATATTTTTTTTTCTGAGCCTCCTTTTTGTTCACACAGAGCCAAATTATATGGTTCTCTAGAAGGATCAAATAATTTCTCTATGTGCATGTGTTTTAATAATTCAAAGCAAAGAAATGATGTAGGAATCAAGGGTAAAATGTATCTTTTCCCAGCACCTTAGCTTTGATCAAATTTGTAGGCTACCTCTTTGGTTTTAGAAAAAGATATAGACCTTTTAAATGTTAATCTTTATACTATAGCTCCCAGAAAGTGGCTATGCTGAGTGAGGGCCTCTGGTGAATGTACTGTAATCAGAGAGGGAAACTTTTCAAGACTCACAATGACTGGTAGTATCTCTCTCTTCATTGATCTAGCTGTTCTAAGAGTGGCCTCCCATATTAGTCATCATTGCCTAGTTATTTCCAATGCATTCTTACCTAATATTACTCAGCAGCAGTCAGTCCAATGTGTTTGATGGGGCTTACTCCCAGATAAATGGTTATAAGGGTTGTGGTGTGAATTCTGGAAAGAAAAAACTACCACAAACAAACAATCATCAAGCAAAGTTAAAAGCACGTTATGCAAATCCTCAGAAGGGGATATAACACTACTGTGGAAGTATGGCAGTGGTTCTTGGGCAAAGTGTACTATTTTCACAGCAAGGCCCTCCTGCAAAGAAGTTCGGAGAACTCAAATCTCTTATATTACAAATACTGCTCCCTGGATCCAAGTCTGCAGCCAGACATGCAAAGCTATGAAACTATCTCAAATGAAATAGCTCACATTTGTGATCTTGACAAAGCTAATACTTTTTTTTGTCCGTGCTAACAGCTTCATGTGGAAGTCTGCTTGGACCATCTAGCAATGTATGGTAGCAACTCAGGATAAGTTGTTTCCACTCACATTACTTTCCCCACAAGCAGCCAATCAGGCGAAACCACAAGTCCTGCCTACCTTGTTTGGAGGACCAGGCCTCAGAAAAATAATGTGAGTGACTCATGCTTCCTGGCATCTCAGGGCATTGGCCCATGACTCTTTGCCAGGCTGTTTTTCAGTCACCTCTTCCCCATTGGCCTTCACCCTACCTACAGAATATGGGGGAGTAATTCTAGATTGGCAATAGAAGCCAGGCATGAGTTGGGATGAGGAAGTCATAGGAATTTTCTCTTCAAACCATAACCATTTCCTTGTTATCCCTCCCTATGTTTCACAAAGTTGCAGAGCTTTACTCATTCCATATTTCACATTTGCGCAGCTATAGTCGCTCCCTTGGCACAGGAGTGGAGAACCTGTCACAGAAGTTGTTTGACTCCATCTTTTTTTAGTCCTACCCAGCAGGGCCAAAGTTCAAGGACTATGGGAACGGTGGTTTGAAAACATCTGGAGGATGTTGCCAGCTAGGCATCCTTTTTCTCCATGACAGCAGGGAAACAACATTAAATGTTCTTATCCTTCATTTCTGCCTTATTTTTTTCTTGGACTGCCATCTCCTTTTTTATATAGTCCTGTTGGCTACTGTCTCATAAATTATATATTTTATCACCAGATGCAAAAAGACTGCATGAAAACTCTCTCTCTCTCTCTCTCTCTCTCTCTCTCTCATTCAGCAGTTTGCTTGACTAATCGAGATGTTATGTTTAACCCACGCATCACTCTCCAGTGTGTAAACAAAGGCATTTCTGAACAAGCATATTTTGCTTAAATCTCTAGAGCCACGAAACAATGTCTGCTGAGAACTCAGAAACAGCCACTTCCATTTATCCATTCAGTTAGGCAAACATCTTATAAAATCCCAGCAGAGGGGGAAGTTGTCTCACACAACACACTCAAATCAATTTACCATCACCACCCTTCTATCATGCCAGCCATATACACAAACCTTTGCATGAGAACCCAACCAGCTTTATTCTGACCAGGTTTAGTGCTAGGGCTTAGCCAAATCCAAAATCATGTCTGCACTAGATTTAGTGAGTCATTTCTTGCTTAAATGCCTCCAGCATGTAAAAATATGTAGATTTAAACGGTCAACATGTGCAGACTTTGGTTGCCTCTGCTATGGTAAGAAAGTGCAAAGTAATCCTTGCTTGTAGCATGTAAACAAGCCAGCTGGTGCACCCTGTATACAAACAAGCAGTTGTCCTGAGCCTCCCTCTTTCCCCCAAAAAACATATATTTAGCACGAGGCATATGGCCCTACTTGATTTCATGTGAAGGACTGACAACTATTTGTACATCTGCCAAATTCTAGGAAGCAGCAGGCGGCAGACTCACCTAATTTTGCATCCAGCTGCAAAATAATGCAAGAGAAAATGAAGTTACTGTATCAGAATTATTGAGCAGATTGATGTGGCACATCATTCCCACATTCCTCTATCCAGCAATATTCTGAAATGTTCTTCAAACCAGTGGACCCCAGACATGTTAGACTACAAATCTGATCATCCTCTGCCAGTATGGTCATTAGGGAAAATGGGTGCTGGAGTTCAACCCATCAGAACATTGACTTGGTGGAAGCTTCTCTGGAGTACAACAAGCCACCATTCATATTGTTTGGGACAGGAGGCTTCACCTGCACTGACAGCTCCACATCAAGTCTGCACAAGCCCAGTCCTTAAAAATGAGTACAACAAATGTCTGTGGGAGGGATGGAGAAAGACCTGCTTGTTGGGCTTAAGACCTGTCAGAGCTTAATCACCTCTTGTTAATTTAATAAAGAAGCCTCAGTACCTACTAAGGAGTGAAACTACTAGCAGATCAAGTGTGGGAGCTCAGGTGAGCCAGAGGGACGGCCCATGCCCAACCTTGGTAGGAGAATATGTTGAGGAACCTGTCCTTCAGCCACCTGGCATTACTCAAAGCTCCAGACCTCAGAAGCCCTTGCTCACATCACTTTGTTAGTGGGAAGACATCTCTGCTTGCTGTACTTCCATCTACCATAGTTTAGTCCAAAGAGGGCAAAGTGCAGTTCTCTAGAAGCTGTTGGACTAGAACTCCCAACATTCCTCACCACTGACTCTCCAGAATGATAGGAGTTGTAGTCCAGCAATATCTGAAGGGTTACATTTTCCTTTTATCCATACAAGAAATCATTTAGAAAATATAACTGGAAGATAAAGGGGGGGGAAGTTATGGGTCTATCTTAAATAGGATGTGGTGACTGGAATGGGTTGTGTTTCTTTTGGCAAAGGATGGGGAAAGAGTGGTGGTGGTTGAATTCCTATCAGCTTTGTCTAGCATGTCCAATGATGAAGGATGCTAGGAACTGAAATCCAGCAACATCTGGAAGACCAAAGGTTCCCCAGTATTACTTTAGTCCTCAGAAAATGAGATTCTGTATGATGGATTTCCTATGAAGTCATAATAATCGTGTGCTGACAATTCTGACTTACGATGAAGTTTTTTTCCAGGCTCTCTAAGTAGAGAATTCTCAGAAGTGGTTTATCATTCCCATCTTCTGGGGACATCCTGGGGCTGTGTAACTTGCCCAGGGCCACATAGGCTGGCTCTCCTCACAGGATGTCCAGTGGGGAATTGAGCTCCTGACCTCTGGTTTTGAAACCAGATAACTAAACCACTGAGCTATCTATCGACTTGACAGAACATGATTATTATAATAAAAATGGGACTTAAAAACAGCTTTGCTTGTGCTAGAAGAGTTGTGGAAGGCTTATAAACTGCTTCTGATTTTAATTTTCAAATTGAATTATTTTCCAAGCAGCTTAAAAACATTATATGCTCTTTTATTTCTAAGTGTTAAGCCACTGTGCCCTGAAGCTTGACATGTGTATTTCTTAAATAAACACCCCACAATTTGCACATACCCCCTCTTTTTGTAGTTAAGCTAGAAAGAATTACTTCTTTTTGTTTTATTCTGTTTTATTTGTTTTACATCAGATCAGCAATATATCTACATATGCATATAGAGAATACTAACATTTTGCATGGGAGATACCTGATGAGCCCAAGCAACAATAAAACATGTTAATTAAAATATATATACAGAGAGGTGCAGTGCACATACCAGAGCTGAGGTCATTTATTAAACAGACCCAAGCAATTAAAAAAACCCCAAAACATATTTACAGCATTTTAAAAAAGAATTAAATTTTGTTTGCATGAGCTACATATTTGTTTGCATAAGAGAGTCCTTTTCTTCTTAGAAAGGAAGTTTCAAGTATAGCAGAAATTGACAAAAATGCCCTTTACAAAAATAAAATCCAAAAGCTGCCTAGAAAAAAACGTTGCAGCTGCAGCAGTACCTGGCCACCATCCTTTTTTTGCGGGACGACACAGATTAAAGGCATCCAAAAGAGGTTCACAATCTGTCCACACAGCTCACTGCCACTGGAGGTTAGAATAAATCTTTAACTCCTCACCCCTTATTAGATGTCAGGTCCAAAAATATATACAGCTTTC